TTTTTTTATATAACAAATTAGAAAAAATAAACGATGACTACAATATTTTCAATGTTATAAATGTCCGTTAGGAATCAGCTCTAGGCTGTCCGCATTCTATATACATTGGTCTAAGCAAAGAAATCAGGAAGCCCTTAGCATAATTTTTATATGGTCGGCTACATGAATCAATTTACTGTATGTGACAGCCAATTATTAAAGATTGTTTGCATTTGTGTCCTGCTTTCAGCAGAATGAATATTAACCGTTGGAATGATCCTCTTTGGTTTAACAAACTTGACAAATCTTTCAAGCTCTGTAAAGCTGCTGTGCTCACTGTAAGGTACACCTAAAAGAACAAGAAAAAGAGTCAACGTTTTGTTCGTCTACCTATTGGGAACTAAAGAACCACTCTAGAAACATACTACCAGTGACGTGATGCCAGTTATATGGGCGTGGTTTAAGTTCATTTTCACCCCTACAAGGTTCCAAATAGATTCAAATTGTTGTCTTACTTTTCTGCTTGTAATCATTACATCATCATTTTAGATGTAAGAGGAGGCGTCCAGGCCTAAACTCTGACCACCTCATGTCAGAAAATTAAAAACTGGGGGAGTCAGCGTTCCTGTTTCAGAGGTTAAGTACAATCCTAACTCTAAGGTGGGACAGTATTCCCTTAAAGTCTGTGCCTTGTAGCAGTAATTATAAATCTCTTGCAATGATTTCGATAGATATGTTAAAAGAAAATAAAAGATAAAAATGTAACATGACATTTTGACGACTTCATGTCATCATTGTCAAAAAATGAAGAAAATTAACAATGTTCGCGGATACATACAGAGAAGGAAGTGCGGAAAAGTACATGTAAATCTTTAATCTTTAATTTTCTGACGCCAGAAAATTAAAGAAATTAATAATTCAATAAAACGATTGGCGTGGAAAGAATCCGCTTGGGTGTTTCGGTCTCTTGATTCCGATAATTAGGATTTCAAAAAAAATAAATTAAAGCTTCCCTGCATTTCTTCAAAATTTTATTAAGGTTTCAATTTAGATGTACTTTTTCACACTTTTTTTTCTCTTTCTCTCTATATATGTTTCCACAACCGATGCTAAGTTTCTTCACATTTGACAATAATTACATGTACATAAAGTCGTTGAAACGTTTTTGTCATTAGTTTTCTTTTAAAACGAAAACGCATAGTACATACCATAAATTGTAACATTTCCTCTCTTTGCGGGTTTTATCATGGACAAGTTGTCTGTTTTTGCACTGTGTTCCCATCCAGTAGGTTTAAATGCTAACAAAGCTGTAAATTGCGTCCTGTGTGATTCCAGATATGCTGCTAGATTCTATAGAGAGACAAGCATTGAACAAACACAAACTACAGCAGCGATAATGTAAGACCCTTTGCAGTGCCACAAGGGTTTACGCTCAAGTCGTCCGAAAGTCATCTTACCCGAAACAAGAACCAGAGTTATGTTGCTCGAAATTTTTAGTAAGTAGCCTGAATTTTTATTATGCTCAACAACATTTAGCTTCCCTATTACGCATTTATCTCTTGAGGTGCGCCTGTTTCGTCTTATCAACGCTTATATTAAAAATGTGAACTGGTACTCATTTATCGCGCTTGTTTCTTCTCATCAAAGCGTCTCATTTATAGCGCTTGTTTCGTTTCATCAAGGCTTAAAACACGAGATGTTTTACACATTTATCCCACTTGTTTCGTCTGTTTTATTATTGTTCAAGTCATGTCACCATTATTATTTATTACCAACAACCCAAATCTCTCTACACAAGAGGATTAATATTTTACTATTTCGTCTTGTATTAGTCCAATCTTATACCGCGGAATCGCTAGAAACCTGCTTATAGCGTTTTGCAGTGTTTTAAGAGCAACTATTTCATATTTTTGTTGTTTGACAGGTACTATTATTTTTCCAACACGCATAACCAAGAATGAGAACCATCTTGACTACGTTATCCTCGTCACATTCGCCGTAGTTGACCCTCCTGGGCTGGTCCTTGTGGCGGTAAAAGGTCAAATCGCCCCAAAATCATCTCGCCCGAAGGTATGTCGCCCAAAACTAGAGGTGTACTACATACAAAAACACAGTTAAATTAAGAGTGTGTGTCATTAGAATAATCTTTCCTAAAGGTGACAATAGACACTTGCTAGCGTGAAATACACATGAAGACTGTAGACATAATGATATTTAGAGTCTATTTATGGTTTACTGAATGCACAAGACATTATTTTACCTGCAATGTAAGTTTAGCCATTGGCAGTACATGTACCCTTCCTTCCCTCCAATCTGTAGTGATCAGTGAGTTGATGTGTTCCGACTCAAGACATTCCAGCACTTTTTTCTTCTGTTTTTCTACACTGATTTTACAACCAAGTGCCTCTGCAATGGCTAGTAAATAAAAACGAAAACATGCAATGATTCCAGCAACCAGCACTGCTTAAAATACTCAGATCCGATATGACTCTAATGGTAATTCATTGGCTAAAACTGGAAAGAGAATGGGAGTCATCCCCACCGCCCGGTATGATGTAACTTATTCATTTTATGGACTATTGTCAGGGTTAGATTCATTGTTAAGGGTGTTTTGTTTTCTTTGTTTTACGTCAGCTGTGAGTAATAAATAATATTACACCAGAGATGAGCCGAGAATAGCTACTTTTAAAACCATTCATATCTACAGAGTATAGTATCCTTTTTTGTTTACTTTCCTCTATCTACTGTACTTTATAACTGAGTTTATCCTGAAGTGTAAAGAAAACAAGCTGCAGTACGGCATATAAGAAGAGAAAACATAAAAAGTTAACTCAAATTAACAGAGTAACCTTATGGCTAATATCTTCAAAACAAACATTTTTAAATGCCAAACAATGACTTAGAAAACTAACAAACATGGAGACATGCATAAATAAAATATCCCTTACTTATATTTGAATCTTGAAAATAAAAAAATTCCATAAATAAAATAGAGTTTAAAGGCATTCAGAGACACTAGGGAACTTATATTATCCACAAGAGAGTTCTGTAGTTTTTGCTGTTTAAATAGTTGAACAAATGAAGAGCAAGCACTTTTACTTTGGCAAAATTGAAATTCTAAAACTGTCGTACACTTACTAACACAGGCTGATGTAAGTTGTGAGCCACTCTTTTTAGGACAGACTTACCAAGGAAAACTCGTTCTTTTCCAATCGTGTATGAGCCACAGACAATCAAAGTCTTTGCATTTTGTTCACACGCTTGAACAGCTGTGGACACTGCAAAGTTGACAGTTTGTTCCTGGGGTGGGAAGGAATATTGAGGACTGCAGTATCTGGATCAACAAACACAGTAACATGTAAATGAGAAAATGCTAAAGAATGTTATACATGAGCAAACACAGATTATAATGTTCCCAAAAATATCTGTAACCGTTTTATGAAAGGTTTCAAGGTTTTAAGTGTCTACCTACAATCCTGTGACTCCTAGAATTTTTCCAAAACTGGGAATTTCAGATTAGTTCTTCAACAGAACTTCTACCCAGGCATTTGTTTGACCATTTTTACCATTCAAAAAGATCTGTGAATGTACTAAATTGAAAGTCTTTGACAGTTACAATGCAACGATGAAATGGAACTGGGCACTTGATCTACTGACAATGGATGAACTTTAAGATGACTGTACAGAATAGCGGCCTTAGGAGGGACAGAGAAGTGTTGGGATAATTTATCATAAGATAACTTTTGCTATAACAATACCCTTGAGGCTGTAGGCAGATCCTTGAGCTTGAATACATAAAATTGCTAGTCCTTTAAGAATTGTCATGTGCCAAACTAAAGAGATAGCCTTAAGGTCACGATAAAAAGTAGAAAGTCTACATAAGTGACTGCATATTATTGTATTTCTACTAGAATAACTTACGTAGTGTCCAGATACAAAACATCAATTTTACACTTCTGCAGAGAAGGATAGTGCTCCATTTCTGTTGATGCCCTAAAGTCACCTTTAAATTACGTTAGGTCCAGCAATCATTAAACTGTCATTAAGCATTTTTTTAAACATCAATTCCTGACTACCATCACAGCATGTCACATCATGCATGTTCACCTTACATGTAATTTTCATCATCAACATGTACATACACTGCACTAAAATAATACATAGAAAATCAAAAAGCTGATGATTCTTGTGGAAGTGAATTTGCCAGGATGAAGAATTTGCAGTTAAGAGTTTCATTTGAATCTCTTGGCGGTGGCTAAATAACCTTAGAAATGGCAATAGAGTTAAGTTGTAAAACAAGGCTCTGTCAGTGAATATCTCACCTGTATGTAGAATTGTGTGTCCATTTGGAAATTTGAACATAAACAAAACAGCTCCTGGACAACTGAAAAAAAAAACAGTATTTTATAAACTATAACATGATATTGTGCAGTACAAGCTGTTAATTGAAAGAGCCTTTATTCATATTGTATTTTCTCATTACTTCTTTCATGGGACCTAAAATATTTTCAAACCTCTAATGAGGATAGGAAATAGCCAACTGGAGCAAGGACAGCTAACAGTACTGAGTCAAAAAAACCTATGTTTCCAATGTTTCAAATTAGACATGTACTGCATACATAACAACAGGATGCTCTGATCTATTGTTCCACCAGAGAAAACATCCACAATTATATGAATAAAAATCATACTATTTACTGAAGTTAGATTTACCATAAATGACCTAATAAACACCACTTCCAAAAAAGGGCCTCTTATCTGATAAATGCCCCCTCTATGCTGTTAAGTATTAGACACCTCTCTCTAATAAAAGCCCCCTGTGTACATAATAGACACCCACTATGAGAATTACTCCAAAATACTAGGAATTACCAAAAAGGAGCAATTCATGTAGTTTCTTGTTTGATTAACCAGGGTTTGTGTATTTCATCTGATCTTGTTCAATGTCACTTTCAAAGTAAGGATAGACTAATGATAGCAACACAATAACCCTGTGCAAGGATTCTGACATCGTTGTTGGGAGTTGAAAGAGCCACATGGATTTCTAGATGGCCTAGACATATCAATTTTTGGAGTGGATATTCCACCATTTTTAAACTCTCTTGATATTTTTGCCAAAAGCATATTAGTTTTGTTGAGCTTGTTACGGTCATCAGAATAAATGCCTCTTGCTTTTTAACACCTCCTATCAGTATTAAACGCCCCTGCTTGGACTCCTGAAATTAAATAGATGCCCCAGGCCTTTATTAGCCTAAGGTCATTTGTGGTAGTTGAAGTCCACCTCAGGATATTTTTTAGGAAACTTTCAAAAAGAGGAATTCCAGAATACCAGTAATCATTATAGCACCCTAGCTGTGTCTGGTTTATTTTTCATCTGATTTACATGACACATGTAGGAGTTTAGGCCTGGCACAATCACCTGGTTGTAAGAACATGAGTTACTGGTTCAGAAAAAAAAAAACAGTTACAGAAGAGAAGTATACAGTTAAGAATGGAACCTACTGGTTTGCTTCAAGAAGAGTCACTTCAACATTCTGGATCACAGTTGGAGTATTCATAGGAAGTGGATAAACAAACTGCTTCTTGACATACAACTTTTTTATAACAAGGTTTGCTGTGATCTAGAAAATAAGAAGAGTAGCAGGCTGATATTTCACCCATTCACACCTAAAACAAATAAATTGTTCTGTACTTTTCAAAGAATAACTTATGGCTGCAGTGAATTGACCTGTATCATCGCTGATACATTCCTTGCTGATCAATAATGTAGGGATAAGGCATAGCCTTTCACTACCGGCAGATCACAATTTACAGTTTACAATAATTCTTTTTTCTTAAAAACAGCTCAATAAATATATCAAATATAGAAATGTCTATTTGAGAAAATAATTATTATTTTGTCAGTTAATAAGCTCTTAGAACTTAGAAAACTAAAATAGATACTCCCAAAGATACAGATTCTTATAATCTTGTAAGGGATTGGTCAGCATACAGCCTGTTCAGCAAAGAGACAGTTAATCTGGGTGTTTCTTGGTGCGGTGTTGTGGAAACTATAACCTATTGTAGGTTAACCATTGTGTTGTGGTTAAGGTATTGTTTAGTGTCTTTTCAATCCTTTCTATTCAGTCATATAGTGATCACAGCCATCTGTAACACCAAGAAACTCCCATTAATCTAGATATAATCAGTAAACTAACAACACAGCTACAAGTTCCAACATAAGTCATTTCATCAATATTAAATTCATCAGTCGCCAGTCCTGTAGTCCTTTTAGTTGTGACCATTTTAGTAATTTACAAGTAGATTCACTTACCTTACTGCAGTAAACAGCGTTTGTAAACTTGCCATTTAGACCAGCATAATGATCATAATGGAAATGGCTCAAGAAATAAGCACGACAACCAGGAATGTCACCATAGCGAAATGCATCTACGGTAATGGCACTACCTGGAATCCTCTTGTAAAATGGACAACTCCGACGTGATTGAGAGTTAGCTGTTACAGCAGGAACATCTTCACCTGCACCTGAACTTTGACCTTCAGAAGAATAGCCAGTATTTTTAGGATCGTTTGAATTATTCTGTTTTCTTCCTCTCCATCTTCCATGTTTGTGAGTTACTGAAGAAGTTGAAGCATCCATGACATTCTTAGCACCTGTCATTTTATTCTCAAAAGGTTTTGATACAGGTTTCAAGCCAAAGAACACTCCAATGTCTGTTTGTTTAAGTGAAGATGCTGATTTCTTGTTTGACTTTTTAACAAAAGATGACAGTGACTGCTGTCTCTGAGTGGTACTTGATTTTACAGGAAGAATCTCCTTCTTTTCACTAATTTGTGTTGAATTTACACACTGTGTTTCACCTGAATCATTGCCATCAGCTTGATTTTTTGTTGAATGCTGCATTTCCTCTGTATGTGAACACAAACTTTCAAGGAGCTCTGGATCTCCAAACAGATCATCATCTGATGACATGTCAAAATCTTCTGTTGAGATAAAGGATGACACTGTCATACCAGTGTCTCTTACTATATTCTCCAAACAATTCTTAACATTTACAGTCTCCACACTTTCAGAAGTAATCAGTGGTTTCTTGACATCAAACTGCTTCTTTTTCGCACTATTAAGACTCCCCTGGACATTGTCACCTTGCAAAGTATTGTTGGTTTTTTGATGATGAGCTTTTTTCTCGGTGGAAGAACTAGAGAGATTCAATTCATTATTACTACTATACGTTTGTAATGGTGTACTTTCTTCATTGTCTTCATCCACAGCCCTTATTGTTGTAAATTCTGCAGAATCTTCATCTTTAATTCTAGTCCCTTGTTCTGAAAACTCTTGGCCTGAAAAGTCTAGCTGTCTAGATGGATGGGTCTTTGTTTCCACCTTTTAAAAACAAGTGCAAGAACACATATTGGATATCACTATAGACAGAGCTTCCTTACCAGCTAAAAAGTGTTAAAAAGTTACTTATTGGTACTTATTTTCACAGGTCTTTCATTTCACATTTTTCGTAACTGTAAAAAAATCGTGAAATTAAAGACCTGTGATTAAAAAAAACCTTCGTAATGTTTAATACCCATAATACAGAAAATTCAAATACAAGAAATGTATCAACAAATACACAGATTATTAACTGGTGAGTTCAATTAATTTTAGTATCTTATGATGTGAAATGACATCAACTTAAAAGTTAACTTTTAAATGTGTGTTTTTGCTTGTTCCAGATTTTTTTTGAAGTTTTGATAAAGTTTGTTTGTAAGGTTTAACCAAATATCTTTTGCCTGGTTTGACAATCCTCATCATCTTTTGATGCAAGAACAGTAAGATTTTAAAAAAAACTGTCAATTAAATCTTAAATCAAAAACAAAAGAATGTTGCTTTGTAGAAGACATTTGAAATTAAAAGAAAGATCAATTTTGTGAAATTTAAAATCAGATCATGGTCAGCCTTAATATGAAAAGGATGAAGAGGTGGGATAGCAACAAAAAGAAAAAAGCAAAAGGGATAACAATAATTATTAAAGAGAATAAAATAATTCCTTACTAAAACATCTTTTTCATTGCTTATTTCTTCAACTTTCTTCTCAAAGATGGCACAACTTCTAGAAGCAGCTAAAAGCTGGTGAGAATATCTCTTATAATGAGGAGAGAACACTGAGTTACAATGAATCCCTTCAGCACAGTCACCTGAAACAAAATATAAGTTATGAGCTCACCTGTCTGGGCTAATACAACACTTGGATGACTGAGTATTAAATATTTTGTAAAACTATTATGGAAATCCCTTGCTCCTGGCTGTTAATGACAGCCCAGGAAGGGGGGGGGGGGTGGGGTGTGTTAGATAAAGGTTGATATCATGTTTGTCTTTGCCTTTACATGGACATTGGTAGAGGTAGCCTGTCAAAGGACCACGATGCCTATTTCGAACTGAACACATACTTACTGTGTATACTGTACCTTCAACAACCACAAAAAAAGATACCATACCTACATATGAATATTTAGTGTCCAAACATTCCCTGACATGCCATCCAGGAGACTGCCCAATTAAGGCACAGAAAGGCATCTGACATTTGGGGCAAAATCCATCCATGACCTCTTTCTCAGGCGTTATTTTATCGCTAGGACTCGAGACAGCTGAGCCTCGTTGATCTGCGCTTAATTGATTATTTATGGTTTTAGAAACCACACTTTTCTCATTTGGATTACTGGAAGTGTCTGATCTCTTATGCCTCTTTTTTTCTTTCTTCAAACTTGCGCTATATTTCCTCTTGTCTGTTTGCGATTGATTAGACTGACCTTCTTTTACATTCTTTTCTGAACGTTTAGAGCTTATCATCCTGGCATTCTTGGATCCCGTAGATGACAATTTCCCGCGTTCTTGAGACGAAGTTTTTAACTTTCGTTTAAGCTGTTTCAAAGACTTTTCGTCCCATATGTCCTCTTCATTCATATTTTCTTCCATTTTAATCGAAACAAATGCGTATTTGGGGTAAAATATAACTGAAATATTCTTTTAAAAGTTTCAGTCATTCAAACGAACCGCCATGTTGAATAGTTGAATGTGATACGCAAAAATGCAGTATATTTGAAGTACTCAGATTGGGTGTAAGTTCGCAGGTCAGTAGGAACGAGTGTTCGATTGCCTCATCATTTGCAAACAGTTCAATCTTTTTCAGTCTTATCGCGATATCAGATTATCATTTAGCAGTTCATCATCCATAGAGCATTGACTCGAAAGTGACTCGAAAGGTTCGGTAGGTTTTTAAGTTAGCAGGATATGAGTGTCCAAACGCTACAGAGATTCAGTCTACAGAGTATCGCTAAAGACATCATCGTCTCCTCTGACAATTCTTCGGTCGAAGATTTTCACCGATACAAATATGTTCTAGGTCCATTTGATGGCTTAAGTAAGTGACCATAATTTAATACCGTAAGACGGAATCTATTTCTATTTTCATACCTGGCAAAGGTTGCCCATCGCGCCAAGGAAATTCAATAAGGAAACTGAGTAATTTTACTTTTCAGTGGACAAAAACCTTGTACCAGAATAATTTTGATCATATTGCATTATTTTTTACACTTTTTGAGGGCTATAAAATGTACATGTAATTAGCTTAAGTATGAGTTATATGAAATAACTCCAAAGAAAATGTTCTTATGAGAGAGCGAGAAAGTATATTTCAAAAGTTGTTTTCTCGGGCTCCCATAACAACCTCTTCTCTGGAGTTATTTCATGTAACTTATTACATTTATAGCCCTTGAAAAGCGTAAAAAAGAATGCCACTGTATGGCTTAAAATATTCTGGTACAAGATTTTTGTCTACTGAAAAATAAAATTACTCAATTTCCAGACGGATTCCATCATAAAACTCTCTCAAGTTTTCCTAAGGTATACCTATGTGCAAGCAAAATTGTAAGTTCCTTGTAAATGGGGATAAAGGGAAGAGGAAGTGATAGGGTGTTCCTGTTTCCCTGTCAATAGGAAGGGTCCACAGAGTGGAATGTGGATCTGAGACTGAGTACCAGCACTAATAAATGGGCTTGCATGGTTGGCATTCAGACCTGCAATTTTAAATTGAAACAGCAACAAAAGATAAACAGAGCAAAAGACAAGATGTGATGCTGGCTCCTGGGGTTTCAAGAATTCAGTCTCCTAGTTTTTCAGCTGCAGTTTTCCTCTCCTACATGTAAGGTTGTCTTCAGTAGACTCTTCTATAGATCACACTAACTTCAAGCTGGGGAGAATGTTTAAGAACATCAAACTGCTTCTTTTTCGCACTATTAAGACTCCCCTGGACATTGTCACCTTGCAAAGTATTGTTGGTTTTTTGATGATGAGCTTTTTTCTCGGTGGAAGAACTAGAGAGATTCAATTCATTATTACTACTATACGTTTGTAATGGTGTACTTTCTTCATTGTCTTCATCCACAGCCCTTATTGTTGTAAATTCTGCAGAATCTTCATCTTTAATTCTAGTCCCTTGTTCTGAAAACTCTTGGCCTGAAAAGTCTAGCTGTCTAGATGGATGGGTCTTTGTTTCCACCTTTTAAAAACAAGTGCAAGAACACATATTGGATATCACTATAGACAGAGCTTCCTTACCAGCTAAAAAGTGTTAAAAAGTTACTTATTGGTACTTATTTTCACAGGTCTTTCATTTCACATTTTTCGTAACTGTAAAAAAATCGTGAAATTAAAGACCTGTGATTAAAAAAAACCTTCGTAATGTTTAATACCCATAATACAGAAAATTCAAATACAAGAAATGTATCAACAAATACACAGATTATTAACTGGTGAGTTCAATTAATTTTAGTATCTTATGATGTGAAATGACATCAACTTAAAAGTTAACTTTTAAATGTGTGTTTTTGCTTGTTCCAGATTTTTTTTGAAGTTTTGATAAAGTTTGTTTGTAAGGTTTAACCAAATATCTTTTGCCTGGTTTGACAATCCTCATCATCTTTTGATGCAAGAACAGTAAGATTTAAAAAAAAACTGTCAATTAAATCTTAAATCAAAAACAAAAGAATGTTGCTTTGTAGAAGACATTTGAAATTAAAAGAAAGATCAATTTTGTGAAATTTAAAATCAGATCATGGTCAGCCTTAATATGAAAAGGATGAAGAGGTGGGATAGCAACAAAAAGAAAAAAGCAAAAGGGATAACAATAATTATTAAAGAGAATAAAATAATTCCTTACTAAAACATCTTTTTCATTGCTTATTTCTTCAACTTTCTTCTCAAAGATGGCACAACTTCTAGAAGCAGCTAAAAGCTGGTGAGAATATCTCTTATAATGAGGAGAGAACACTGAGTTACAATGAATCCCTTCAGCACAGTCACCTGAAACAAAATATAAGTTATGAGCTCACCTGTCTGGGCTAATACAACACTTGGATGACTGAGTATTAAATATTTTGTAAAACTATTATGGAAATCCCTTGCTCCTGGCTGTTAATGACAGCCCAGGAAGGGGGGGGGGGGGGGGGGGGTGTTAGATAAAGGTTGATATCATGTTTGTTTTTGCCTTTACATGGAAATGGGTAGGGGAAGCCTGTCAAAGGACCACGATCGCTATTTCGAACGGACCACATACTTACTTGTTATACTTTCCCTTCAACAACCAAAAAAAAAAATACAATACCTACATTTGAATATTAAATGTCAAA